CCTGTCCATATCGTTTGTTTTCCTTCACGAGAATAGCTCTATTCTCTCCTCAACGATTTTCCGATTCGGTTTCTTGGCTAGATCAAGTTCCCGTTTGGCTAACATCCTCCATGATCGAGTTTCTCACTTGGTTGCTACATCAGACCCAGTTTGCGGTCATCAAACATCGTTCTTGGTTGAGTTTCCGATTTGGTTCCCGCGTTACACAGTGCCTGGTCTCATAATTCACCTACTAGGATCATCGCCCCGTTTCATGCTGACGTTTTCACCTGTTCGATCCGTCAAACTGTCTCATTCTCCCTGCAAAAGTTTTCTCGTATCCTGACTGTATTCCGGTCGTTATCTTCGGGTCTTTGTTCCCTATGCCGCGTTCTTTGACCTCGTGCACCCTCCGCATTGTTCTCCTCTATTCGGTCGTCGTTAAGCATTCGCACTGGTTGAGATTTTTGTGCAGAGCGATTTTCGACGTCGCCTCGTTCGACGTTGTTTGCAACCCCTCCGTTGTAACCGGAGAGAGGCAATCCATCGCGAGTAAAGGTGTAACGAGCTTCGTCGCGGGATGGGAAGCTTGGACAGAGGCTTTCAGGGCAGAGACACCGTGTCGAGTGCATCGTTGCTGGATGTAGACGAGCGATATTCGCGCTCGTCCACCCACCCCCGAATGGGTCTGCGGCCACGGCGGTAAAAAGAATTTATCTGCCGATCGCAGGTCGGCTATTCGACGAGCGGGGACAGCAACAGCGCTGGTTCGATGACGGGACAAAGGCCGGGATGGAAAAAAATGGCTGGATGAACGAGCTCGGGACTATCGGGGGTGAAAGAAAGAGGGCGCGTGAAACCGCGACGGGGACAGGGCACCGGTGGGACTAATCCGACGGCTCTTTTTCGAATTTCCGCTCGAGCGTCGGGAAAATAAACGGAGAATGCACCCCGGGGTTTGCTGGACGCGGCTCTTTGTAAACACGGCGTAATAAGAAGAAACGGGGGAGAGAGCGGCGTGTGGAGCTACTAGAAATTCCACGATGGACGTCCGGACGTGAGAACCGGTCCTCTGGGTCCACCGCGTATCCTCGAGGTAGACCACGAGGAAGTTCGTTTATTTATCGACTCTATCAACCGCTTCCTGCGGAACCCATCGCGTGGATGTCGTTCCCATCACTGAGGCGAAGGAGGGAGAGAGAGAGATTGATAGCGATCGAAGGAGCAAAAAGGGGAGAGACTGGAAGAAGAGCGATGGCGAGGGACGGGCGAACGACGGAACGTCGATAAAAAGTGAACGATGTGGGTGTGCGGGGTGGGAAAAAATCGGGAACCAGGGCAAGGAACACGCGGGAGTGGGGGAGAACAGGGGAGGGAAATGAGAGGAAAGAAAGAGCGGACGAGGAGAGGCGGAGAAAAGGGAGAAAAAAACAGGAAAATTCGGACGAAAAGGAGGAGTAGCCGCGGATGGCGAGGGTGCAGCAGGGGGCGAGAGAGGGCCGTGACAGGGACGCAGGCCCGACAACACCCCGCGCAATAGGCCAAAGGTTAAAGAGAGCTGGCCGATTCCGCAATCGCTTGGCCGGCTTCCAATTTCACGACTCGCTTTTTACTGGCCGGACGCGCTGCGACGCGCCAGCAAAACATTGCAACGTGGATACCAGGCTGGCCAACAGAGGCGCTCTCCTCGGCTTACAGAGTCTGGGTATCGCCACGAAATATACCGTTCCTCCGTGTGCCTTCGTCCGCCGTTTCGACGGCGATCCTGCGTGAAGATAGCCGTGCCGGAATCAATAACTCGTGAAAGATAAGCGTCCGCCGGTGCAACTGTCCGATAAACCGCCATTTCTATCGATTTCCAACCTCCGATCGATTTTATCCCCCCCCTTGCCGACTTTGTCGTCCCTCTTCATGGTCGCCGGTGATTAATGGGACCGGAAAAAACGTGTATTATTGCCCGACTGCGTGTTTCAATTTAGGAAATACGAGTCGGTGTTGCGACGTTTACGAGTGGACGGTGAAGGTAGCGAAACTTATGGTCCGAAGACAGGTCTCCTACAGACGGAAACGAAAATTATTACACTCTAAGCGATTCTCTTTTAAATTCCAGCAAGGACTGGTGTGGATATCAGAAGGAGAATACGTATTAAATGTAAATGATTTATTTCAACGAGGTTATCAAAATTTATATTTGCACCATACCGTATACTCGTTTAAACGAGACCCCGACTGCGAGTCGTTCGTTCACCGGATCGATTAACTCGACGAAACGGAACGGAAAACAGAAATTTACCGAAATAGAAAATGAAACATCGATCGAAAAATTTGTTTACAGTCATAAAGTGCAGTTAATCGTTTCCTTCTGTAAAGGCTCGCATAATATTGACGGAGTATCGATATATTTCGAGTTGAACGACGTATATGCATATATATTTTTATATCATCAGGCTTCGAAGTTAGGTCTTCCATCGATAACCTTCGCCCTCCATTCCCCCCAAAAAGAGGAAAAAAGGAAACGAAAAAGAGAAAGCGGAGAAAGGAGTAGAATTAAACGTTTCAACGAAATTAATAAAAATCCAGCGGTGTCTTGAGAAAGTCCAAGGCTTCTTCATTCCGCATGACACTAGTATTAATCTGGAAATTCAGACGGGAACTAATTTCGGGTCGATCACGGCGGAAAGAGGTCTCCACGGCGCGACGTGAGTTCTCGGACGTGGCGCTAGTTTGTTAGGTGGCTTAGCGGATTACCGCGTCGGGTGCCGATAAGTCAGCGTCTGGCCGGGGTGCCACGACGACGGAACGGCGTCTCCCTATAATTAGATTCGCCGGCTAGTTGCCACGAAGAATTTTAAGAAAGCCACCGTTGCCCGTGCTTCTCAGAGGAAATCGCGTCCCATCGAGCTCCCCGTCGCTGTCTTTACTCCACTGCTTTACCCCTGCCAGAGGAATCGGGGACATTTGAATCTCGAGGGCCGAATATGTGGGGAACGGGGACGAGACGAAAAACGGGGCTGCTGTTTCTGCGTCGTTAATTTTGCACGCGTCGCGGTTTCGGTTCCGCGCCGCGGCGAAGCTTGGCAACTTTTTCGCAACTCTCTCCCTTGGCTCGCGATCCTCGCACCCCTATACCCGCGTATCATCTCGCTTATTTCGTTGTTAATGCGACAACGGGTGACGCGTGTCGTTGATGGCTGGCCAGAGTTGAACATTCGCGCGAGGGGAAGGTTTTATGAACGGGCAAAGTTAGAGAGTTAGACGCGTTCGTCAAATTTCTCTACTATTTTCAATATTTATTTTTCTTCTCTTTTTCCTTTTTCACTGGCAGAGTTTTGCTTCCCTCTTTTCTTCCCCTCCTTTTTTGTTAGTAATGGCGTAACAAGTGACGCGTAGTGTTATTTCCGAGTTACCCGAGTTGGAAATTTATGCGGGCTTTCTTTTTCACCGTCTCTGATATTTGTCCACTCCTTTTTATCTCCGAGTGCTGGAATTTCGTTTGTTTCGTCGTTGCCGGCAACGAACGATGCGCGTTACACTGGACGTACGAATGCAGGAATTTGAAAGTTAATTTTCTTCTTCCCTTTTTCGCCGTTTCCCATATTTATTTTCCCCCTTTTATTCCTCCGCTGACAGAATGTCGCTTATTGTGTCGCCGATGCGACAACGAGCAACTCTAGTTGAAGATTCGTGCCAGTCCGAGGGCTACGCCACTGCGGGAATTCGAAAGTGGTCATTAAATATCTTTTCCCCCCATTTTCGTCGCTTTTGGTATTCCTTTTCCTTATTTTCATTTCCCATTTTTCGTTCCACTCTCTTTTCGGAAGGTCACAAATTCAAGATTGCGAAGGCAACTGTTTGATAGGATTGCAGAGAATAATTCATGCTTTGTCACAAGCGATACTCCCGAGGATTTCTATCTACATCTACTCGGCTGCAATGTAACGGTCGCGTAGCGTTCAGCTGGTTTGATAAAATGGCGTTAAATTTGTACAGCACCTGTTAAATTCGCGTCCTATCAATCGAATAAATCAAACCGCTGAGGAAGAGAGACAGACAGAACGAGAAACAACGAGAGATGGGAATAGAAGGGTGGTGGGAGAAAAAAAAAGAAAAAAAGAAAAAAAAAGAAAAAAAAAGGAAAAAGAAAGAGGAAAAAAAGAAACGCGTTAGGGGGATACATCATAAATTGACTTATCTCGATGTCGGCCGCAATATCGGTTCGCAGGGGTTGGGAATCGCAAAAACCGAGCACCCTGCATAAATATAAATCGCTCTCGCTTTTGTTGGCGGCGCGAGCATTAAAAATGCATAGAATAACAAGGGCAATGCGTCTTTTTGCATCTAAAACGGCCGGAAGCGGCACTCGATAAATTGCACCCGGAGACATTTTACATGTAAATAGAGGAAACGAGAGAGAGAGGGAGAATGGATCGTAGAACAACGAAATTAGGGCCGGCTACGTGATCAAAGCCCGTTCGAACAGCGCCGCGATGAAACTACGCGACATTAAAATCCATTTGCATTTTCCAACCCCCATGCAGCTGAATCACCGACACCGGCAATATTTCCCGATAAAAAAGCAAATTGCATCCGGAATATTTAAAATTTAAAACACCGATCCGTTTAAGATGCAAACACGCTTTCCCTAACGGCCAACCCGATTAATCCGAGCCTTTATGCGCGCCCCCGAAATCGAATACGAGGACGGGGTTAGAAATGAGGGACGGCGGGGCTAGAAAAACCCGTGTCTCGCGATAGGGCCGTCGAATTCATAGGAAACCGAGTTCAGTCCCACCCCCCGTAGCCTCGTTACGTCGAACGAGGGAATTACAATCGCGGGAAGGATTCGCTCGAGGTAGACCTGTTCCGAGCGTCTCGACGCGACACCTGGCGAAATTAGAATTGCAGCCGAGCTTAAGAGACGTTGGAAAGAACGAAATTGAGAAGGTTGGATCGTATCAGCCCGGTCGCATGCAAAAACCAACGAGGATTACCCCGTCGGAGGGCAGGGGGACGATGCTCACCTGGTAACGTTGATCTGATCGGCGATCTCCACCGTTCCCAAGTTTCGATATCCGGCGAAGAGCATGCTATTGTCCATTAAGCCGGAACCACGGCCGTCGATCGTCGCGTAGATGATGCTCTTGTTCGTTACAAGGTACGTGCCCCAATCGACATTGAACTTCTCCGTGACCTGATAGGAATCTGGACCGCCGTATCTGTGGAACAGGGGTCGAGATAAATTAAAACCGTCGTGCAGACGATCGTTACTCCCTCGCGCATGGAATCGTCGAGAGGTTTGCTTAGGTTGCGGCTTGCAGTTCGCTCGCGAAGCGAGAGGAGGCGTTGGAGTAGGCAGAGACGCGCAGCGGTGCCTCGGGAGTGGGGGTAGCTCGCGTAAGTAGCCTTGAGCGATGGGATAACTTTGATCGGGCTATAGGGATCGTTTCTCTTGATCCGGAAGATCAAAAACATCGATTTCTTTTCCTTTTTCTATCGTTTTCTCAATGTCTGTGGTTTAGAGAATATAGGGCTAAGTCTGTTTAACTAAATTCGCAAAATTGGCGTACAAAATGTAGGCAAAAATACTTGTTTTCGTGCCTTTACAATAGGAGGTTGGAATGGGTAGAAAGTGGAGGTGTACATTGAAAATACCTCGAAATAAAGAATATCGTAAACAGGGGAAAATTATTCGAGTTCATCAACGATTTAATTAATTGGTAATTAAATAAAGGTCGCGTCGCGACAATTGCAAAGATATATAGAATATCGCGTCGTATCATGTCATTACGTTGCTACTTGTATATATTAATGTAACGAGATACGTTTCAATGAATTTCGTTTAATCTGCCAATTGATTTTACGAGTGTATTACATCGTCACGATAAAGTTATACGGTCCTTTATCGAGACGAGGGAATATATTTATAATTTCCTATGTTTTTACTCTCTTTTTCTTCTCGTCTCTCTTTTACGTTGGATACAGTAGAACGGCGGAATTTATTCAGAGGCCGCCTGCAGTATGAACAACTACAATTCAAAATTTTCAATTTCCCGCTCAGAACGTGGAGCAATTACGCGCGCGTACGGCGAGCAATTGCGAAACAATTCCGTCCTAATAGACCAAGAAAACCTAATCGAATTTTCCTCTCTAGCCCAATTATTCAATCGACTCGTGTGTTCCTATTTATACAAAGTCTAATCCGGTCGGAACGAGTTCCGTCGCCGAACCCAATTTCCCAAACTCGAATTAACGTCCACGAACGTCGAACCGAGCGAATCGAACTCGATCAAATTTACCAACTAATCGTCCGACGCTCGTCCCTTTTTCGCTCCATCATTTTCATCCCCTTTTTTCCCGGGGTCCGTTCATCTCGACCCCCCGCGAAGCGTGTTTAAACACGGGAAACCCGGCGATTAATCGATCCCCGCGAATCGGCGCGGCGATACGCGGAAAGAAAACATGGCGGTTTCATACGCGACGAGTGGCCCCGATTTTCGTTCGACTAATTAATCCCCGCACGGATCCATCAAAATCCACGTTCACGCGTCGCCGAATGAATTTCGCGACGATATTTCCCGGCGACGTTTCGCGACACCTCGCGATAGGATGGTAAAAAATGTCTGATAAATGATACGCTGCGACTGACGCCGACGCCGACGCGTATTCTCCTCGAGGTTCCTTTCTTTTTCTCCATTCGGCACGAATAATTCCGATCCGCTTCGAAGACATTAAAGCGTATTCATGGCGGCGGCCTCCGGCATTTGCATGCGAGAAAGAGGGGAGAAAAGGGGGGTGGAAGAAAGAGAAAAAGAAAACAGGGAACCGAATGGGAGCATCCAGGGAAATCAAGCTCGATTTAAAACGTTTCCCGTCGCTAACGGGGAAAGGAGATAAGGTTCCTTGATTTTACACGCGCGAACGGTTTGGCCCGCGACCCGCTCATCCGGACGCAGAGAGGCTGGATTACTCACACGAAAATCAGCATAGGATACTTGGTGACGCCCGACAAGTCGGCATTCGGTGGAATCAGTAGTCTGACACGGGCCTTGAATCCGCCGGAAACATCCACCTTGTAGCGGTGCACCACCGGTTGCGATTTCTCCGCGATTATCTCCGAGACCGCGTCGTTGTTCTCCCATGCCAGCAGCTTCACGGAATCCTGCAAAGGAGGGTGGGTACAGAAATAGGCTAAATAACGTTCACCTGAGGTAAAGGGGAATTTTTCGAAGTTTTCAAATTGCTTTCGCTTCGAATTATAATGATACGGGGTCAGGAATTTTCTTCTTTCGAAGGCTTGCAGGTATTTACCCTGTACAAAGCCGACCCTTGCAAGATTGGTAATATATTGCATTTACTTTCGCGGCGATAAAAGGAAGACAGCCCATTCTCGAAATTGTTGCACGCACATTGACTTTGAATTTTAGTATCAGTGGCAAAGAGATTTTTCCTTTAAGTTTTCCGAGGTGATTTAATTATTTAATCCGGGGAGATTAACCCTTTATGCTCGACGATTTTTTAGTTAAAAAGGAGTAGGGGTTGAAAAATTTTCTGCTATAAAGCTGATGATATTTTTTGAGCAATAAGTAAGAAATTGTATAATAATTAACAGGTAGAATTATTTAATTTTTTAAGTTAATTATCTCGCATATTGTTATGTTATTTTAAATTTGATATATTAATTAATATCGAGCTTTGAAATTTTATCAAATAGCGGCTGAAGGGTTAATAATATATTAGGTTGGGCTGAATGATTAATTTTTAACAGTCAGTTCGTGGTATTAGTACCATTATTATTATTATTATTTATTGCTTTCTCTATGACTATGTGTATATTCACGTTTAAACAAATAAATCATCATTATTATACAATTATCAAAAAAGGAAAATAGTCAATTTTTGAAATATAAGTAAGTTTGAATTTTTAAGTCAGGGTCATGGATAAAATATTCTTTCTTTAACATTAGAGCTACCAAACTAATTAAAAATACTACTCTTAGAATTTTCCTTCTTGCAATTGACTAAAAAATTTATTAAAATGTCAGGGTGATAAAATATTTTTTCTTTAACACTAGAATTACTAATCTAGTGAAAAAGACTAGACTTAGAATTTTCCTTCTTGCAATTACTAAAAAGATATACCTGCTTTTATAAAAATTAATGTCGATTTATATCGAGATACAATTGTACAATAATTAATCATACCACTAAAAGTACTATTATTTATGCCCGCTATGTTTAAGAACCCATTAAGGATCGATAGTTCTAGGGTTAAGATAAACCTTCGAGATATTTTATTCAAATTCGAGTTTTAAGTATCTCTTTTATTCTTCCTTTAGAATCTGTGAAATATTTTATTTCTCGATCGTTTAAGACCAATCTGAATAATACATTTCACTCTTCTAATTAGCTTTCAGTCAGCCATTAGCAATATTACCGAATTACGCGCGAGAGTAAAAGGAATACGAACTGAATTTTTGCCATTAACGCGAAAAAATATTCTTTTCTCAAGAATGCCGCGGTGCTTTTTACGTGGGATTGGCCTAATGGTCGGTTTTTAACGCGCCGTTCCCGGCACCAGCGAATTGCCCGCGATAGGATTTCCCGTCTACAAGTTAAAGGAGATTCAGGTTCATGGTCGTTCAATATTTATTCAAACAGCGAGTGGAAACGCTTGGCAGAAAAACAGGGGCGTCTAAGTTTCAATCGATACCGAAAAGCGTCTCGGCCTTCCTCTCCGAGGACCTCTCCGAACTTCCACCCTTAATTTACCCTTATTTTACTACACGGCGCCACCCTCTGCCACCGGAGGATTTTCCACGACGATTCCTATTCCAACAACTTCTCGCCTAGCCATCGATTCCTGCACACACATACTGTTTCGACCTCCCATCCACTGTCTCCGATAAGATCTACTAAGTAGTCAGTCCACTCGACCTCCACCTCTATCCCGGCGATCTTCTTTTCCCCCTACCCCTCCTCCTGCAGGAATTATTCCCAAGAGAAATATATATCCGCAGCAATCGTGGAAATAAAAGAAAGAATATTAAATACCGGTAGAATACGTTCCCTTGTCCAAATAGAACGTTCTGTGGCGATCATCGTTCTCACTCTCGCCGCTAGATGGACTCCGACTTTAAGGAGGTTCGAGGACTTTCTCGCAAGTACTCGGAGAACCTCCGCTTCGTATATATATAACTTCCCGATATTCCAATAATATCCAAGTCTGAGGCAGGGCCTGATAGGGTAGCCTTATCGATGAGTCCCACTAGCAGACCCGGAACGAAACAAATCCCCTCCTCTTCCTCTTCCTTTCATCCCTTCCAGCTACAACGAGGATATTTGAGGCCCAACTGACTTTCAATAACCATGGGGGAGGGATGGGGGACCTATCACTATCTACCACTATCACTACCTACCAGTGTTCTATCTCCAGACGTGTCCGACTCGCCATCGAAAGCTTCCCTTCGCGATTTTATGAACAGATGGTCCAACTTTTTAAGCCACCATACATCAACGTCCAACACTCGGAGCCGTTCTTACGAGAATCATCCTTGAGTTTTAACCTGTTATTCCACCCATCCGGATCCCTCTCCATTTACCAACAGAACTCCAACCACCCCGATTAATGCACAGTTGATAAATCGTTCGCACGGATGTGTATCGGTTAATAAGATAAGATTTCTTCGTTGATCCCGAAACAACCCCAGCTCGATGAAACTTTTATTCCAACCCCGATGGGGAATATCGCGAATCGAACTGGACACAGGAGATTACGATTTGCGTCCGCCTCGCTGCTTCCATACTCCCCATTGTCTCGCAGCCAGACAGAAGCAACAAGACTCTAACCCCCGAGTCTTCCGGTTCAGGAATAAAATCAACAGGAATAAACCAGCATCACGGGTCGCGACACCCTTCAAAATTCCACTCTCATCAGACACTTATCGCGAAAGCACTTCTCTCCCATCCAAAATCACCGAACAAAGTGTTTCCCGGCCCCTCCGCCGCCATTGTTCGCCGGCAGGCGGCAAGAACAGGACACTTCCCGTTCGCTGGCTTTCTCGAGGGGAAGGAAATTAGTCCCTCGGAGGGTCTGGGGGGCGTTTGTCCGCGAGGAAAGCCGATTATCGGCTGTAATCGTGCCGCTTCGACAAGTCGAGCAGTCGAATCCTCCGTTTCTTCCTCCTCTTCCATTTCAGCTTCCTCTTTCTCCTCGTTTTTGTCAATCGACACAAACGCGCCGTCTCTCCACTTCCATCCAACGGGATAATCTAATTACCAGTTCGGTATAATGGGGACTCGAGAGGAGAGCGATCGCGAGGCGACGAACGAGCGGATTTCAGTCGAACGTCGGGAGTTGGAGGTGGAAACGGGGCTGTTTATTGGAATTGCTAGGAACGAGAAAGTTCTCGTTTGACCTATTAGGGGTGAAGGGTATCGGAAGTTCATACGCAAGTGTTCTGGAAGCGTGCGAGCTCGAGGGTCGGGAGTCGAGGCGCGAGGAAAACGTCGTCGAGTGGAACGATGGGGTGCAACTTTCGACGCGGAACGGGGCTGAAGCAGAGAGGCTACGGGCGGAATTGGAAGTGGAAATTTAAGCTGTAATTCTTGAAAACTTCTGTCCATTTCGTGCCTCCCGGTTTAATAGAATAGGGACATCTTTCGTGCAAGCCGGGAAGAAAATTCGCGTCTCGCCCGTGGTTTAAGAAGCACGATGACTTCGCGAGGTTTTGACAGTAGATAGGATAATTTTTAAAAGCACGTCTGCGATCTTTATAAGGGCTAAAGCCTATCATGGTCAAATGACCTGTGGATGAAGGAGGAGCAGTCTTTAAAAAATGGAATAATGGGAAGCATTGAGAAAATTATTATAATTATATTAGAAGAAAAATCGCAAAGATAAGTGATCCTCATTACACGATTCTTAGCTACGAATTCCGATTCCCAATTTTTAATTTTTAATTCTGGGTATTTAGAGATGATAACGTTGAATGTGGATTTTTCGACGAAAGTTTGAAAAATGGTGATTCAGGTTAGGGTAGGTTTAGTATTAAACTGGTCAGACCATTTATACCCGGTTCAATGAGGATTGCTAGAAAATATAAACAGCTGCACGCAAACAATGCGTGATCAGGACAGGGAGAAACGTAATATCCAGATCGCTACACAGTATGGGAAAATCAAATTTTTGAAACAAAAATTAATCATGTTCAATATTAACGTGATATAATTAATTAAATATTATTAATATTATTATACGACAATGTGAGTAAATAGGCAAATGAAAGTACAAGTTATGGTATGGAAAATTATGTTTCCACATTTAATTTTTATAGAAGCGATCTAACGGATGCTTAGAAAATGTCGGGAAACGTGGACATCGCGATCTTTTATTTTCAATGAGCTATTGTCAAGACTACAAGATTACACTACTGTGTAATACGATTTTATTTTAAATAGTTTTCACGATGAAAGTAATCGAAATATACCAGAATATCTAAAGGAATCTGCACACTTTGAACTCGAGAAATTTCATTACGTGGTACTTCAGAGAGGTCTCTACTTCGCGAAGATTTCTCATATGTACGTCGCAGACTCGAAACAGAATCAAAGACCGTATTGTCTTCACCTGGAATTACTTAGCTAGAGAACCAAAGTCAGAAAGAGAGTCCCATAAAAGAGTCTGTAGATGTCCACCATTTTATAATTTTTATAAAGGAATTTAATATATTCTAATGTTGTAATTAGCAAATTTCTTCTTGATTGATCATCTCCATTGATCTCATCATAATTGACTCGAGCTAAATAAATTAACTAACTAAAATAAATTGACTAAAGCTCTAACATAATTTATCCTTGTATCTTGTTTATTAAAAGATTAATTCAAATTTCCTAGAATTCGAATACTCCTTTTGTACTCCTGGCAAAGGGAATAATAAACTCCCGTTGAATGGTGTAACCCCCGAAGCCAAATTCCGGACCATCCCTTTGGTCCAGATTTGCAGAAGAAATCGTGGCCATCTATTTATTCCCAAATTTACCCGCTCAACTACGATATAACAATCCGGTGTACGCATAAATTTACCAAACTACCGAGAATTCGAGTCGCCACGTCATATTGTTCCACTTGGAACATCCACTTACCGAAGGAAATAGAGTAGC